TACTCCAAAATAGTCCAAGTGGCTGGATATGATTACATGGCCATGAAGAAGAACTAAAGCACTGAAAACAAATGAAAGGACCCAGTGATAGTTCTGGCTTCCTCTTTACCTGACCAAGCATGTCACTTAGTATCTATGAACCTCCTTTAGAAAATAGTGATAACGATAGCTACCTCATTAGGACTGTTTTGAGGACTGTATCAAATAACCAACAAAAAAGCATGTTTAAATATTAAATATTATTTTTAAAAAATGGATTCTATTATAACGTGTTAGCATGCTCCTACAGAGGCACATTAGACACTAGCTTGCCTACTTAAAACAACTACAGTTCTGCTTACTCTCTTCCCATTGATAGCTTTGTTAATAAGCTTCTCTTTAAGGAAAAATTCCAAGTAGTTTAAAATTTCCTAAATGAAAAATAGTGCAGAAAAACACCAAATATTATTCAAGAAATGGCAAAATGAATATTATAACAGGCATTTTGCATCTGTAAATGTGATTTCTAGTTTATTTTAACAGCTATACTAAAACCCCACGGTACAGTTAATAGTATTATATTCATTCTGTCAAAAATAAGAAAATATCCTCAAACACAATTTCTAATTTATAAGCTTATGACAAGTTCAAGCTGCTGAGAAATTGGACTTGAAAGTATGTCTTAGAATGATAGAAGACCACTATTAACACTATCATAATTGTATACCTATTGCATCAAATCTGACATTTCAGTTTAATATATTTTGCTGAGAGAGCATACCGTTTTATGGCTTCCTAGTGAAATCAAATCCAACCCAGACGTTTTACTTTTCTAATATAATTCACTGCAAGGTTTTAAAGCTGCCATCTCTTTTCTTCCTTTTCTCCAAAAGATTGATGCCCTGGCATTCATTAATTCCATGAGAGCTCATAATGGGTCAATGAGTCGGTGGCGAGCACCTCCATTAACTATATTAATTTACACTATGTCACCTTAATGACATTTTGTCACGGCTACCTTTTCTGACATCTACACAGCTATTCAAAAAGTAATATAACAACTTTTGAAGGCATTAAGGAGAATTAGTGTAAGAACTTCAGTAAGTTGAATGTCATTGTTACCAAGAATATATTAGAGGAGAGAAACAAAAAATAATAATAAAGTACAAACTAACTGATCTGACTCAACTCCGGAGACCTTTCTCCTGAAAGGTCACTTCAGCAGCACGCCTTCTCCCCAGCTTGCGCTCATTAGCACAGGAAGAGACTGACATTAACAGAGAGTGACAGAATAAAACCATCTACTGCATTCTATTTCTCTCTTGCATGATTATTTGACTAAGTTAGTAGATACTGCAGAGATACTTTTCTCCTCTGGGAATGGAAACACATTTCCTTAAAAATATATTATATACTGTGTTTTAACAGCTTAGGGATAAGAAATAAAAGCCTAGGTTTTAACACAACAGTTAACAAAACAATTACTACTCGTAGTAGCATATTCTTCCCTGCTAAATCAGGTATTATTTTAGAGGGAAACAATACTGTATACTTTAAGCAATATATTTACTCATGAATTTAGAAAATTCTCAAGTTAGCACCAGTTATTACCCAAAAACTTATCTTCTAACATTCCTGTCATGAGGATCCTCAATTCTGATGCTATAAAGGGAAAGATAAATATATTTGGCTGGCCACACACACATACAGTTACAAACACATTAAATGAAACATAACAAAGCTAAAAGACTGAGAAACCATACTTGTAACTTTCTGCAATTTCTAAGATCTTTTTCAAATCAGTAAGAAAAAGACCCAATCAAAAAATGGGCAAAAGATATGATGCAGTTTACAGGTCAATAAATATAAGAAAAATGTTCATCTTCACTCAGAAAAATGCAAACCAAAACAAAGACAACTCCATATTTCATTTAGCAGATTACAGAAGCTCCCCTGTTTATTACAATAGTGATGACGGGGGGGGGGGGGATGGGGAAGGAGGCTCCCTCGCACACTGCTGCAGGGAGTGAATTATCATTTTGGGGGATAACGGTTTGGCAATATCTTAAAAACTTAAAAATGCATATAGCCTTTTAGCCAGCAGTCCCCCTTACAGGAACTGCCCTTTACACACATACATAAGATGTCTGTGCAAGGATGTTCACTGCAGCCTGGTGTTTATAATAACCAGAGAGAAAGGCAAACTGTCCATCAACAGGAGATTGCATAAATAAATGATTGTATATATATATGTAGCATGCATCCTTTAAGACGGAAGGGCTAGGTCTACACAGTATGATAGTCAAGATGTATTATCATACAGTCGGAAAGGTTCAGGAATGGTGGTAAGAGAACTGAAAACGAGAGCAACCTGTGTAATGTCAGGCTGGAGAAAGGAGCTTCTTATGAACTGATTAAGTCTTGGGGAAACATGTTTGTGTTTCGTATGGCTGCTTGAGGACAAAACCCAAAAACACTCCCAAGGTAGTGAGAGCCGTGTTGGTCTTTGTCCTCAAGGAGGATGTGACCCTAGGAACCCCCAAAACACAATTAGTAACAAAATGTAAATGTTTCTTAAAAGGTTCTCAGTAGGAAAACTGCTGGGAGATTTTAGAGGGAAAAGCCTTAGACCTGTGGTCCCCGCCCCCGAACCACTGACCACTACTGGTCCATGGCCTGTTAGGGACTGGGTCACAGAGCTCCACCGCTCCCCCATACCCTCCTCCACGTCCGTGGGAAAATTGTCTTCCATGAAGTTAGAAGGGGGGATGTGCAGCAAGAGGTGAGTGGTGGCTCACCTCATCTATCTCTTTATAGCATCACAATTGAGAGTCCTCATGACAGGAATGTTAGAAGGTAAGTTTTTGGGTAATAACTAGTGCAACCTTGAGAATTTTCTAAATTCATGATTAAATATATTGATTAAAGTCTACAGTATTGTTTCCCTCTAAAATAATACCTGATTTAGGAGGGACGAATATGTTAACTAAGAGTAGTAATTGTTTTGCTAATTGTGTGTTAAAACCTAAGGCATTGGTCATCAGAGATTGAAATGTAACTTGGTGGTCTAAAGCAGCGGTCCCCAACAGTTTTGCCCCAGGGATAGGTTTCACAGAAGACAATTTTTCCAGGGATGGTGGGTGGGCTAGTGGGCAGGGGGAGCTCCGGTGGTGATGTGAGTGGTGGGGAGGGGAACGGCTGTAAATACAGATGAAGCTTCGCTTGCTACCACCGCTCACCTCCTGCTGCGTCCCTCCCTTTCCAACTTTCATGGGACACACTTTTTCCATAGACGGATGTGGAGTGGGGTGTGTACGGGGCGGGGGGCAGTGGAGCTCTGGTCCAGGTCCGTGGCCTGGGGGTTGGGGACTGCAGGTCTAAAGCATCAAAAAAGTTCTCAGGATAGGAAGTAAAGTCTAAAAGTCCATCTACATACATAAATTAGAATGACTGACCACAGTATGTGCGTGGGCATGTGAGGGCAGATTTTTGAATTAATCTGAAAAGCCAATTTTCTTTTTTGTCATGTCAAATAACAGTGAGTTGGCATTTTTATTTGAAATAAGTTGATATAATATGGATATAGCTCTGACTTAAGATATAAATAACCTTAAATGTGATAAGAAGCCTTCATTTATAGATAAGAATATTTAATTCACATACAAAATACTTAGTGCTTTTTATGAACATTGTGCTAATTCTAGAAACTACTGTTCAACGAGAACCTATGGATTCCCATTCTCTGTATTAATTCTCAAAGCATTATTAAATAAGAAAAAGACTCCCTCCCTGATTTCATTGGTAGCAAATCAGTTTAAATGATGGCTTATGGATATTTCAGAGTTTAATTCCTCAATAAAGTTATAAGACTGTTAGGAGAAAAATGTGGGCCTTCAGAATTTAATATAGTAAGGATGTATGTTAAATTCTCTTACTTTTTTCCAAATGCAAATATATTGTATATATAATTAATATTTATATAAGTAAACTTTGATGGCAACAAATAAAACACACAGATATGCTACACTCTACTTGGCTCCATTTTCTTTGTTTCCTGCTTTGAGCCCAAGTTGTATTCATCTGATTTTTTTATAGTTCAGTAACACTGTAATTGCCTTTTATAAATGTTTTGCAATAGATAAGCATAAACATGAAAATGGCAATTGTGACTTTAACTCACTATCTTTTGTTGGATTAAGACCCTAAATGGAATGATACCACAACATTTTTATGTTGAGTGACAGTGATGGGAAAAAAATATGCCTTGAAGAAAAAGGGCTTAAAATAAGAAACATATGCAATAACCTGGTCATGTAACCTTATTATCAGGGAGAAAAATGAGAGAACAAATATATTTTCTTGCTTTGAATACAAAATTTTTCTTGTTTTTTTTTTTAAACAAGAGCCCATATAAATGAATAACAAATCTTCGTATTTAACAATAGTTCAGTAGTACCAACTGTAAAATTACTCTGCTCTCCGGCTGTTCCTGGATATTGTGTGTGTGTTGGTTTAATCTAATGCGTATTGTTGCGCAGTATCCCCAGGCACAGTCAAGTAAAAGCTAAGGCTATACAGAAAAGCCCACATTTTAAATGGGTCTTGTCATTAATGCTTTATTAATTGCCCCAGGCTACGCAAACCCAAAGCTGGGCAAGCTATAACAATATGACACATTAAGGTCAAATCCAATTCCTGCTGTGTTTTATGGAATGGGCCAAATATCGAGTTAACAGCAGGAAAGGCAATTTAAGGGCTTTTCTTTCCATCTCCTGATTATTCGATCTAAATTAGACAGGAATTTTTTGAAATAATGAAAACACCTTCACTGAGTGCTATAAAAGAATCCTGAATCATTTTCTGTGAGGCTCAAAATTATTTCCTTGAAGGTTAGATGTACCATATAATTTTAATATGATGGAATAAAGGGAACAATATAAAATGTCTTATACGGCCACTTAAAAATCAAAATTTCAACATATTTTGAAATCCAATTAATATCAACAGATAAAGGTGCCTACCTTTACATCCGAAGTATCTCTCTGACTAGTTCTCCAAGACCTTGCAACCGATGAGAAGGTTCTATCTGGATGGTCAAATTTCCCATCATTTGCGTTGAGGAAGAAGGTTGTGAAAGGTTCCTAAGCAAAGAAAACAGAATCAGGAATCTGACCACTCTAAACACAGCTGCCCTCATTCCTCTGTAAAGTATGACCAGTGTTGAAACCTTCTTGAGGTGGAAGCAGTGCGGGGTCTTAGGAAGATGCCCACACCACGGCGTCAGGAGAGGCGGGGCAGCACCTGCCACTCTGCAATCTTGGCAGGTCATTTTGCTTCTTGGGCTTCCATCTTCTCATCTATAAAATGATGAGGTCCCAGTGTTCTAGGATTTTCTGACAAATGATTTTGCACTGCTGTCAATGCATAACTCAGATTTTCTTTCTAATAATTAAGGCCATACATACCAATACTTTAGTAAGAAAAATCACTCTGACGCTGATCATGCAGTGTGGAAGCAGGCAGGGAATGTCCATCTCAGATTACCTATGGAAGGCTACTAAAGTACTAGCACCACATTATGGTCTAATGATTTTTTAAAAATGCAAATCTCCGCTTAAAATCCTTCAATAGCTCTTGGGAGCTCTTAGGAGAAAGTTGAAACTACTTATCTTCCCAGAGACTGAATGATCTGGAACGCACTTCTCTTATTTCTCACTGTTTCCTTCTTCATAGTCTAAAATCTTGCCACAGTGCTTTCCCCTCTTGTCCTTGTCTGTGATGTTCCCTCTACCTGGTACAAACGTATCCCTTTCCCTCACTGTCCTTACTTGGCTAAGTTCTTTTTATCCTTTAAGACTCAGCCAAGATGTCATTTTCTCCTGAAAGACTTCCCTTGATTTACCAAGGCTCTGTAGTATGCTCAAATAGCAACCTATATTTCCTCAAACAGGACTGAAGCACTTGTCACACTGTTTTGTAACTGACTGTTAACTTGTCTGTAGTCACCACCACGAGTAGGTCCCATATCTATCTTATTCACTGTTTAATCTCCAACATTTAGAACAACTCCTAGTACATAGAAGTTGTTTGATATATAATCTGTTAAATGAAGAAATAAAGTAAGTGCAAACGAGACTAGATAAACTCTAGTGCTTCTTGTATTCTGTGACTATTACCTTATGATAACATAGTATCTGTCATTCAGTACACGTTCCCATGGCAGGAAACCTAGGAATAACTTTATCGCAATGTCCTAATATATTTAATTTTAATGCTTATATTATCTGTACTTCTCATAGTGGGAGATCTCATGTTGGGAGTTCTTATGTTGTTCTTATATTTTTGATGTCATTAAATTTGCTTCCAAGTTTAAAAGGATTAAATAACATTTATTCCTACTGAGGATTCTTACTTAACTACAAGTATAGCAAAGATAGATACATATGTGCTTTTCCAGGCTTTAATTCTCTCTGAAGTCCAGGATAAATGACATGTCATTTCCAGGTTTGATAATGCTAAGAAATCTACATGACATTTTCCTAAATATTTTAGTCTTTTTTAGTCTTTTCTCTTTAATAGGTAATCTCTGTTCATTTTTTTATATTCATTAAAGATTACTTTATCCTTTTAAATTCCCCTTCTTGCCACTATCCTTAATGGCTGGCTGTTGGGCAACAGCTGCAAATATTCATCTTCCTCAATATCTTCCTAATATTTGGTGTGGTTAAATATCATCAATTTTCTAAGTTTATAACATGTTGCCAACATTTCATGTTCAGTGTTGGATGACAGAAAATTGTGATGAAGGAGTTAAGATCAAGAATGATATAACAATCACCTGAAATTCAACTGAAAAGCAATTATGCATCCAGCAAGCCCATATTGCTGTTTAAGATTTTAAGTGATATGAGAGACAAATAGATGTCACCAAAATTAAATTAGGAAAAAGATTATATGATATGTCTTTCACTAATTAATTTGCTTTGTAGACTTTTACTATTAAAAATAAAGGGTGGGTGTGGTGGCTCACATCTGTAATCCTAGCACTTCGGGAGGTGGAGGTGAGAGGATTGCTTGAGTCCAGAAGTTCAAGACCAGCCTGGGCAACATGGTGAGACCCTGTCTCTACAAGAAATACAAAACTTAGCCAGGTGTGGTGGCATACGCCTGTAGTCCCAGCTACTCGGGAGGCTGAGCCACTGAGCCAGGAGGTCTGGGCAACAAAGTGAGACACTGTCTCCAACAAAAAGGTAGCATATCTGATCAATTAATTAATTAAAATAGGGATGGGGATATAAAAATTCTAGAAATAGCAATGGTAAATTAAAGGAAATATGACAGATCTAAGTTTGAATCTTGGTGGAACTATTTATCCATCTCAGGCAAGTTACTTAACCTTAAGTAACTGTGTCTCTTCCATTCCTTCATCTATGTAAATTAGGAATGACAATACCTTGGGGGTGATTATGGGAATGAAAGAAGATTTAATAAAATAACAGAGAAAGCTTGACGTATCTTACCTGACACAGAGTTATAAAAAATGTCTACCAGTTGTATGCCTTGTGCCAGGTATTCACTGCTGGACTCTCCACCAGGCTGCCAGTTCACCTGAGTGAACTGGTAGACTTGCTCTGAGTAGACTCTCAGTTCCTTAGGTCCTAATCTCTGTATCCACAGCACCCAGCACAGTGCTTGGCTTATAGTTAATGTTTAATAAATGCTACTTTAATATACCTAAACATACAAGGTATTGTTGGGAGATGGGGCTCTGGGTGGGTAAGAATAAGAGGGAATTTTTATTTTCAGTTCTTAACTACTAGAAGTTTGACCAAAAAGTTGTATCTTCAGAACCCACTTTTTCATTATTCTAGGATGATGACTTAAGGCATTTAATTTTCTATGTAGGTAGTAGGCAGAGATTAATTTAGAGGGATCAGACTTGTCTCTAGGTTTTTTAACCTATTAAACAGATGTGAGTGAAGACCCATTTATACATGCAAAGCCTTCTTATCATCAGCCACTAAAAGCTGATCTCTACCTCAACCTAAATTATAAAATTCTGTCTAGTTTTCAACCCTGAACAAAGACGTGCCAGGAATAGCACCGATGGGCACGGTGAAAAGAAATCTGAAATTGAAGAATTATGTTTATTTCTGATAACAAAGTTATGGATGAATCTGGTGGTAGCCAAAAGCAGAGAATATTGAAGAATTCCACATTTCACTGTTTTAAGTAGCTTTTAAAAAGATTTGATTAACAACTGTTTTAGGGTCAAATACTACATTATGGACACATATTCTCATTATTACTGAAGGCCTCCAGCTGCTACAGTGGTAGAGTACCGATAGAAATTGATAACCTATTTGTTTATAAGTAAGCATTGATCTTGCAAGCTCTGATTACCACGGAGATTACTTTTTCCATGTGTTTCCCTATTACCTTCAAGGTAACAGTGCAAGGCCTTTCTTTTTCATTGGACTCATGTCTGACTAACACAGAGGATCAGGTGCTATGTTAATCTTAAATAACTTTTATATTTATTTGCCTAACGCCTGTCAATTGAACCATTTTCTATATGTACATCAACACATTAGATATTTTATCATTATACTTGAAAAGCTTTCAGCTTGAGAAATAAGA